AAACCAAAACAAAAAATACCACAGCCCTAAACCTCAAGGAAGCTTCCAGTCTGATGGGTGATACAGATAAACAATGATTTTCAGTGCCAAAAACATAATTAGAGTTCAGAGAGCATATGATTAAATAGTGAGATGTAGACTTTAGGCTCTGAGAAAATGGGTTATATAAATTGTGAGGTTGAGTATTACTGAGACTTAGTATGGCTGGAGCAGAAAGTTGAGGTTAAGAATGGCAAAAGATGCAGCTGAAAAGGAACACAGGTATATCAGGGCCTTCTAAGCCATGCCAGAAAGTTTGGACTTTATCATGAGTATTTTCAGAAGCTGCTGTAGAGGTTTTTTTGTTGTTTTTTTCTTGAGATGGGGTCTTGCTTTGTCACCCAGGCTGGAGTACAGTGGCACAATCTTGGCTCACTGCAACCACTGCCTCCTGGTTTTAAGCAATTCTCCTGCCTCAGCCTCCCGAGTAGCTGGGACTACAGGAGCCTGCCACCACGCCCAGCTAATTTTTGTAATTTTAGTAGAGAAGCAGTTTCACCATATTGGCCAGGCTAGTCTCAAACTCCTGACCTTGTGATCTGCCCACCTCGGCCTCCCAGAGTGCTGGATTACAGGCGTGAAAGAATTTTGAGCAAAGTAATGCTATGATCAGATTTTTTTTTTTTTTTTTGATATGGAGTCTTGCTCTGTTGTCCAGGCTGGAGTGCAGTGGAAGTCCTGGCTCACTGCAGCCTCCACCTCCCAGGCTCAAGCAATTCCCCTACCTTAGCCTCCTGAGTAGCTGGGATTATAGGCACTTGCCACCACGCCCGGCTAATTTTTTTTTTTTTTTTTTTAATAAAGACAGTCTCGCTCTGTCGCCAGGCTAGAGTACAGTGGTGCAGTCTTGGCTCACTGCAACCTCCACCTCCTGGGTTCAAGCAGTCTCCTGTCTTAGCCTCCTGACTAGCTAGGACTACAGGTGCTTGCCACCACACCCGGCTAATTTTTGTATTTTTAGTAGAGACAGGGTTTTATCATGTTGGCCAGGCTGATCTCGATCCTTTGACTTCATGATCCACCCACCTCTGCTTCCCAAAGTGTCGGGATTACAGGTGTGAGCCACTGTGCCTGGCCCAATACCTGGCTAATTTTTGTATTTTTATTAGAGACAGAGTTTCACCATGTTGGCCAGGCTGGTCCAAACTCCTGATCTCAGGTGATCTGCCTGCCTTGGCCTCCCAAAGTGCTGGGATTACAGGCATGAGCCACAGAGCTGGGCCTATGATCAGATTTTTTAAAAAATGGTTTTGAATATAATGCAGGAAATTCTTTGATAGGAATAGGACTGGAAGCAAAGATTGGTTAGAACACTTAAGAGTTTACTTGCGGACAGTTGTAAATTCATTTTGTTGTGTGATCCTGATTTTAGTTTTAATTGTTTAGAAATATTGTCTGTTTTGAGTAGCTTTAATCCTGATTTTGTTTAAATAATTTCTTTTGTAATCTTTTTTTTTTCTAGTGTTTTCAGGGCTGAAAGAATACAGCCTTATCTTGATGCAGAAATAGAGAGAACCTATTTCTGAATCATTATCTGCCACACATTGAGAAACACTGGTAAATAATTCAGAAATAGCTTCTTTTTATTTCTTGTGGTACACAGATGATCATATATCGACAGATTAAAAAAATTTAATAGAGTTCCCTTCATGTGTCTCAGTGTCATAATTGTATAATAAGGCTGAGGACAAGGCCAAATTTAAAAACTAAGTCAGTTTAGAGACAGAGTCAAGTAAGTGATAATACTGGTAATGTTTATTTATGGGAGAATCTAAACAGTGGTATCGAAATGATTGAAGTTCAGGAAATAGTGATGGTTGTGTTTTGTTTTGTTTTGTTTGGTTTTTGAGATGGGTTTTGCTCTGTCACCCAGGCTGGAGTGCAGTGGTGCAGTCTTGGCTCACTGCAACCTCTATCTCCTGGGTTCAAGGGATCCTCCTGCATCTGCTGGGACTACAGGTGTATGCTACCATGCTGAACTAATTTTGTATTTTTAGTAGAGACTAGGTTCCACCATGTTAGCCAAGCTGGTCTTGAACTCCTGGCCTCAAGTGATATACCAACCTTGACCTCCCAAAGTGCTGGGATTACAGGTATGAGCCACTGCATCTGGCCAGGAAATAGTGCTGTTTAAGGTCACTTAATTGGCTGGGCGCGGTGGCTCATGCCTGTAATCCTAGCACTTTGAGAAGCTGAGGCCTGTGGATCAACTGAGGTCAGGAGGTTGAGACCAGCCTGGCCAACATGGTGAAATCCCCAACTCTACTAAAAACACAAAAATCAGCTGGATGTGGTGGCACATGCCTGTAATCTCGGCTGCTTGGGAGGCTAAGGCAGGAGAATCAGTTGAACCCAGGAAGCAGAGGTTGCAGAGAGCCAGGTTTGCGCCATTGCACCCCCCCAGCAGGGACAGAGAGAGACTTTGGCAAAAAAAAAAAAAAAAAAAAAAAAAAAAAGACTTAAAGGTTTTGTTATTTGAATTAGTGAAAAACCTGATTTAAAGATTATTTATTTATTTATTTGAGACAGTCTCACTCTGTCGTCCAGGCTGGAGTGCAGTGGCGTGGTCTTGGCTCACTGCAACCTCTGCCTCCTGGGTTCAGGGAATTCTCCTGCCTTAGCCTCTTCAGCAGCTGGGACTACAGGCGCCCGCCACCACACCCAGCTATTCTTACATTTTTATTAGAGATGGTGTTCCGCCATGTTGGCCAGGCTGACCTCAGACTCCTCACCTCAGGTGATCTGCCTGCCTTGACCTCCCAAAGTGCTGGGATTACAGGCATGAGCCACCACCCTGGCCAAAAAAAAATTTTTAAAGGCAACAAAAAATTGAGTTGACATAGGGAGATAGTTATGAATATGGGTTCTGGAGTGAAATTGCATGAGTTTTGAATTCCAGCTTCTTAATAACTTTTTAACCTTCAATAAACTGCTTATGCCTGAAAAATATGTTTCCTCATTTTTAAAAAGGTGGAGATGCTGCTGCCTATGTTATAAAGATTAAGTGAAATAATCCAGTAGAGTGTTTCATGTAGTACCGGACACAGTAGCCATGCAGCGGCAGTGACTATCACTTATTGTACTGCTCCAGTTAAATGCCGTTTTCACTCGTTAACATGAAGACCAAGTTGAACTAGTTTCACGAAGTTAGCTTAAGGAAGCTAGTAGACCAAGTACACGTTCTTTTGGGAAACTTGGTTTAACAAATTAATAAGAATGATTTGTAGTATACAGTCATTTTTCATAAGTAAGTGCTTCTCATGTTTTAAAAATTTTTTTTTTTTTTTTTTTTGAGACAGAGTCTTGCTCCATTGCCCCAGCTGGAGTGCAGTGGCACAATCTTGGCTCACCACAACCTCTGCCTCCTGGGTTCAAGCAGTTCTCTGCCTCAGCCTCCCCAGTAGCTGGGATTACAGGCACCTGCCACCACACTTGGCTGATTTTTGTGTTTTAGTAGAGACGGAGTTTCACCATCTTGGCCAGGCTGGTCTTGAACTCCTGACCTTGTGATCCACTCGCCTCAGCCTCTCATAGTGCTGGGATTACAGGTGCGAGCCACCCTGCCCAGCCAAAGAATTATCTTTAAATTAATGTATAATATGATATGTGTAATATTTGCCTTGAAGTCCTTTTTTTTTTTTTTTGGAGATGGAGTTTTGCTTTGTCACCAGGCTAGAGTGCAGTGGCGCGATCTCGGCTCACTGCAACCTCCTCTGACTCCTTGGTTCAAGCAATTCTCCTGCTTCAGCCTCCCAAGTAGCTGGGATTACAGACACATGCCATCATGCCCAACTAATTTTTGTGTTTTTAGAAGAGATGGGGTTTCACCGTGTTGGCCTAGATGGTCTTGATCTCCCGACCTTGTGATCCGCCCACCTCAGCCTCCCAAAGTGCTGGGATTACAGGTGTGAGCCACCTCGCCCAGCCTTGAAGTCATGTTTACACATAATTGTTTAGTACTTCTTTTTTTCCCATCCAAATTAATAATATTTGAATTAATGGTTTCATATTAGATTGATTCTTGTTGAAATAAATACAGTAAAACCTTTAGATCATTATCTCTTTATTTTTTTTGAGACGAAGTCTCACTCAGACTGGAGTGCAGTGGCATGATCTTGGCTCACTGCAATCTCGGCCTCCTGGGTTCAAGCGATTCTCCTGCCTCATTCTCCTTAGTAGCTGGGATTAGAGGTGGGTGCCACCACACCTGGCTAATTTTTGTATAGTAGAGATGGGATTTCACCATGTTGTTCATGCTAGTCTGAAACTCCTGACCTCATGATCTGCCTGCTCAGCCTCCCAAAGTACTGGGATTACAGGCGTGAACCACCGCACCCGGCTGTCTTTTTGTGTTTTTTTGAGACGGGTCGCTCTGTTGCTCAGGTTGAAGTGCAGTGACACCATCACAGCTCACCGCAACTTCCGCCTCCTGGACTCAAGTGATTCTTGTGCCTCAGCCTCCTGAGT